GCAATTCCCTTTTATAGGATCATCTGCATGCTGAGTCTCAGCCATGAACCTGGAATTCTCCCAGAGAAAAACTGGGTATCTGCCCTTGATGGGGTATAGTGGATAAGGCATAGCATCTGTGACTAGAAGATCTAGATCTGAGTTCCGGCTGTGCTTTTTTGCTGTGTGACCTAGGGACATTATTTACCCTCTCTGAGCCTCAGTTTTCTCATCTCTAAAAATAGAATAGTGGTAACCACAGGTGCTGGAGGTGTATTTTTTTTTTTTATCCTCACCTGAGGACAATTTTTCCATTTTTTGTTCAGATAGAGTGGGAGGAAGAGAGAGGAAGAGAGAGAGAGAGAAACATCGATGTGAAAGGGACACATTGAGTGGCTGCCACCCACATGACCCAACCAGGGCCGGGGACAAATTGCAACCGAGGTATGTGTCCTTAGTGGGAACCAAACCCGGGTCTCTCTGGACCGCAGACCAACGCTCTAACCACTGAGCCAAACCGGCCAGGGCGAGGTGTGAGTATTAACGGAGGTAATAGATACTGTGTAAACAGTGCTTCAAATAATCATAAGCATTAGTTGTGATTGGAGTTCTGTATTTTTCCAGTAATGAGGAGAGACAGGGTGAACGGCAGCGGCCCTGGAAATTCTCCCTCATGGGTAAGATCCACAGAGGGCTCGCCTGGCTTCTTCTGGGAGGTTCACTTAGAGTCCTTTATAATTTTCATTATTTAGAAAAACAAGCACAGATGTTCCTCATCAGAGCTTGCAGGGCAGACATCTGCACTTGAGACAGAGGCAGTGATGATGGTGGGCAGATGGGGTAAGTTCCAGCAGGGCCTTGTAGGGCGGGGGGCCATTCCCCTCCAGGCGCTTCGACCATGCTCAGGGAAGTATCTGAGGAACGAGAGCAAGTGTCCACTGTACGCGGTTAGCAATCAGCCTGCATCCCGGGCCCACATGAATCCCAGCCCCTCAACGCTATGCTTCATATGGTGTCCTCTCCCTCCACTCCCGGCTGCCCAGACGCTCGTTTTACCATGACTGAGCAGGCAGTAATGCTGCGATGGCTGGTGAGGTTTGCCCTGGGACCCACCCGCCCCGACCCACAGGGCACACCGGATCTCCCACACCCTCAGACACAGCAGTGGCCACCGCCACACTGACAAGTGAGCACGGTCCTGGAGTGTGCCTGACTGGTGTCAGGAGACAGAGGAGTCCACTCAGGTTCTAGCACAGAAATGCTGTGCGACACAGGTAGCTCCCTCAATCTCTCTCAGTAAAATAGCAATATTTGTCCTGATTCCTCACATTGCTGATAAGAGGATCACATTAAACAAACAAACAAAAAATCATGGGGAAAAAAAAATGTTTAAATGCTTATTTTTTTCAGGATAAAAAGGAAGTAATTAAAAGCAACAGGCTAGATGTACACATGGCAACATGACTGGGTCTTAAAACCATGGCCCTGAATAGAATAGGCTGTACGACACCACGTTCTCCACGCAAATTAAAAACGTATGCTCAAAAAACAACCACATGTGGTTTTCGATGATTCAACATTAAACAAATCAGAAGAGGACTAAACAATGGGGATAAAATGAATGTGTGAATGAATGAATGTCAGGGGTTTTGTATGGACCAATGGCGATAGTATGACTGACATGAGCTGAGGAGCAGATTAACTTAACCCTGTGCACCTGAAATTCAAGAAAAATGTTTGTTGTTATCAAGCATCAGCTTTGTGAAGTAAGAGAGGAGTATGGACACTGCGTTCTTTCTTCTGTGATGTATGTGGTCTTTCATTTATTCCTTCATTGAATTAACATTTGTTAAACACCTACAACAGGCCAAACTGTGCCAGGTACTAGGATTATAGGTCCTGTCCTCACACCCTGTTTGCAGACAAGAGTATGGCGTGGCACTGTCTGACAGAGGTGAAGGCAGGGGGCGCAGGGGGAGGACCCCAGCCAGCCTGGGCGAGGGGGGAGGCTGGCCTGGAAGGCTGGAAGAGAGGTGCTCGAGCTGTGCCGGAAGGACCCGTCAGCATTGGTCCGGTGAGGAAGGCGGGGACAGAGCCTTTGGGTGTAGGAAACAGCGAGTTCGGGGGCACAGAGACTTAAAGGAGGGAGGGCTCAGGGCACGCTGGTGCAGACAGTGCAAAGGCAGGGCCCTGGAGAGCTCAGATTGGAGATGCAGGCAGGACCCTGCTCTGAAGGGCCTTTGAGACCAGGATGGGAGCCAAGGCGACTGCACAGGAGAACTTCATGCCCAGATCTGCATTTTTAATAACCACCCTAGACACAATGTAAAGCCTGGGCTATAGGAGGAACGCATGAGGGTAGGAGACCAGTTGGGAGGTTGTCAGAGCACTGGGATCTGAACTCAGGCAGCTGTCACAGAATGCAGAGAAGAGGCCGAGGGCATGAGACAGTGAGAGGAAGAAGCCAGGATTACATTGATTGGTGGGGCACAGAAGGGGTGAGAGGTGGGCAGGAATGACGTTCTAGGGTTTTGTCGGAAACCAAGGTAACTGTCTATGCCATTCTACAGAACAGAAAATCCAGGAGGAGGGACAGGCTTGGGTAAGACAATGAATTTGGTCATGGATAGATAGAGTTCCAGGCTCAGGAGGTGGCTATACACCTCAGGGCCTCACCACAAGGACTTCTCTCCACAGGGCTGCTTGAGTGTCCTCACAACATGGTGCCAACTGTCCCCAGAATGGGAAGTCACACGCCATCATTTCAGGCATATCCTATTGGTTACTCAGGTCAGCCCTACTCAGTGTGGGAGATGACCACACAAAGACATGAATTACCAGGAGACAAGGATCGTTGGGGGCCATCTTGGAGGCTGTCATACAAATATTCAAAAAGTAGAAACTTGCCTAATGAACACAATCCTCATCCTTAACATTCTTATAAGTACAATGCTAGGCCAGTGGCACAGTAGGAGAGCCCTGTTCAGGAACGCTAGCCAACTCCAAGCCACATTCCTGTCTTCAGAAACTCTGCTCTCCATTGATCTCTGAAGGCCTGCCTTACCCATGGACAAGACTTAGGGAATCTAGAAGAATGGTAGGAATGTTTGTTTTTTTTCTCCATTAATGCTATTTTCCTTTGCAACAGAGCATTTGGTCAATGTTGAATTGCAGGGTGTTCAAGTTATGCGGTCTGACAAGTACACAGAGCTCAGCTCCTCCCTGCTACTAGTTGAAGGCAGATCCACATTTAACAGGCTGAGCTCAGGATGGACTGTCACCCGTGCAAGGCTTGAAGCCTAGCTAGGACACATCTTGGCTGGAAGAAGAGCCTGTTGCATGCAATACCTGTTCTAAATGCAGACAGCCTTGGCATTTAAGCCGTTCCACTTTAAATCCACACTCCTCCTTGCCCAAGAGCAGAAAAACAATTCATTCCCTCTTTGAAAGTTCTATGGACCCTCCCTGGCTGGTTTGGCTCAGCGGTTAGAGCATCAGCCACGGAACAAAGAGTCTCAGGTTTGATTTCAGTCAAGGACACATACCTTGGTTGCAGTTCGTCCCCGGGCCTGGTCAGCGTCGTGTGGGAGGCAACCAGTCGATGTGTCCCTCTCACATCGATGTTTCTCTACCTGAAGATAAATAGAAAAATATCCTTGGATGAAGATGAAAAAAAAAAAAAAAAAGTTCTATGGACCCTCAAAGTTCAGCGCAAAGCTTCCTGTCCATGAAGACTCCTTCCCTCCTCCTCAAAGTTTAGCTCAAAAGTTTCCTGTCCATGAAGACTTCCCTCCTCCTCACCTGCTCCTCCCCCGCCTTCAGACAAGTGCCCAGGCCTCCCAGACCCTGCCCTGCTCCCTGGCCAACCTTCCTGACCCACATGGAATTCACCAAGACTGAGGGGAAAGGGTGGGTACAAAGTGTAGTTAACAGGGTGCACAGAGGTGGACGTATTGACCCCAACAAACTCCACCTTCTCTTTCAGATATAAGACACGTCCCATCCGAGTACCAACAGGTCAGCTGTGCCTTCTCAGACCTCAGGTCTGTGCACAAGAAGCCCTTGTCACTGATGTCTCTACAAACAGGATGATCCTAAGGGTACAGAGGTGCCCACAAAGGATATCCACAATTTTTGTGTTTGTTCAAGCATTTTCTTTTCCTGAGGAAAAGACCATACTTTTCACCAGACTCTCAAGACCCAAAGAGGTTAAGAATCCTTAGAGAACACAGATCAGGGCCTGCAGGCCTGCTGTGGCCCTCCGCGGCTTTTGGTTTGGACTGCACAGTGTATTGAGGGGTTTTGGCAACATTTAAAAGCCAGAGGATTTTACACAAAAACACAGATTTCTAGCTTTGAAAAAAAGGAAAATGAGGCAACCACATGCCCACACTTTCTGGTGGCGAGAACCGGCTAGATGGCGGCAGCACTGCCCTTGCGATGGGGCACGGGCTCCCCACAGTCCCCACCAGACCGATTTCTTTTTGATGGTTTTGCCTTCTTGACCCCAGTTGAAGTCCTTTGTTTAAAATCTTCAAAAGCGGGTAATGTTTCGCTCCCAGCAGTTGGTTTTTACTGGTCTCAGGCCACGGCGCACTGAGTGGCTCTGTTCTCTCTCGCAGAGGGCATCCTCAGGCACTCCGGCCCTGGACGGCTCCGCTTCCCAGTGCTGGAGGCTCCTTTCCGGGACAGACCCGCTGAGCCCAGGCGCGCCTGACTCCGCCCCCCACCCCTGATTGGCGGGCGGGTGGGTGGAAACCAGGCAGGGCTGCCTGCATGCCCCTCCCAACTGCCTGAGCAAGCTTGGGTTCGCCCGGCTTTCTCGGCCCAGGGGGGCCAGGTCCCACGGTCAGGATGTTCACAACCCCGTTATGTTCTAGCTGTAGGAGCTCTAATCTGTAATGAAGGTGACACCTGGTTCCCCATCAGTCTACACGTTGTCTATTTTCTCTCTAGACCACGGATTCGGGAATCACACTGCTCTTCCATACTAGCGGTGTGGCCTTAGGCAAATCACTTACTCTCTCTTCTGCCTCAGTTTCCTGGTCTGTAGAAAGAGGGTGCTATGACCAGTGTCACCCTCGTCGAGTTGTCCTAAAGAAAAAATGAGATAATGCTGTTTTAAGTGCTTGCTTAGTCTAATATCCGGAACACAGAAAGAACTCAATAGCCATAATTTAGTATAATTTCTGATCTCAGTGATTTATAAATTAAACCAGACACAGTAGGTGTCGATAAATACTGGCTAAATGAGTGAAATATCGAATTCACAGGTGAGAGAAAAAAACAAGGAAACCATAAACAAACTAGAGAAATGCAGATTTTCTCTGGTTGGGTCCGGTCTCTCAGCTGGCCCTACCTCCTTAAGGGCCTCTGCCGGGGCTCTGGGAACCCCCAGGGCTCCTCCTCACTGCTCCCGCCTCCACCAGCCTGGTGGGAGCCAGACCCGAGACACTCTTGATTCCTCTCCCCGCCACATCCAGCAATGGCAGATCCTGTCAGCAACCCCTCCAAAATTTTTCCCCATCTTTCTTCTTGTCTCAACCTCACTGCTACTACCCTTGCCTTCATGATTTTTTTTTTTTTTTTTTGGTACCTGCCCCTAGCGGGAACCAGACTCTCGTCCTCAGGCCAACGCTCCAACCGATGAGCCAAACCATGAATTTTTTTCTTTCATCCAATAATTCACTCGTGTAGCCAATATTCATTGATGCTACTATGCTGCAGGCACTGGGGTGATACTACAAACAAAGCAGTGAGCAAAACAGACACACCCCTTCTACTGGAAGAAGACAGAAAACAGATAAGTAAAAGACAGAGTGTGGTGGGTGGAAACAATAAAACATGGAAGTGGGACAGGGAGTTGAGGGTGAGGGGAAACTACTTTAAATAAAATGACTAAGAAGTCTTCGTTAAGCCCTGGTCGGTTTGGCTCAGTGGTTGGAGCGTCGGCCTGCAGACCAGAGTCCTGGTTCGGTTCCTGCTGGGGGCACGCACCAAAAAAAAAAGGAGACTTTAAGCAAAGGCTTGAAGGAGATGAGAGAGTGAACCACGTGAACATCTGGAGGAAGACCAGAGAGAGCAAAGAGAAGCTGCAAAGGTCCTGAGGTCAGTATGATAGCGTATTCAAGGATCAGCTAGCAGGTCAATGTGGCCGGTCCAGGAAAGACGAGTGGGAGGTGAGGCCACAGAAAACCGGTCAGTTGGGCCGGTGGGGCCCAGTAGGTCATTATAATGGTGTTGGTCTTTACTCTGAGTGCAATGGGAAGCCTTATTCACCCCCATTTCTGCAATGGCCTCTTATCTGGCCTCCCTGACTCCAGTCTGCACCCTGCCTGCCCCACCTGTCAGTGCTGCCAGTCAGCTTTCTAGGACATAACACCCCATTCTTTTTTTTTTAATCCTCACCTGAGGACAGGTTTTTATTTTTGTTCAGATAGAGTGGGAGGAAGAGAGAGAGAGAGAGAAGATTATGTGAAAGGGACACATGGACTGGCTGCCTCCTGCACGACCCGACCAGGGCTGAGTGGAATCACAACCGAGGTAGGTGCCCTTGACAGAAACCAAACCCTCGACTCACTGGTCCACAGCCGACGCTCTAATTGCTGAGCCAAACCGGAACCGGCCAGGGCAACTCCCCCATTCTTAACACCTCTCTCGTCTTTCAGAGCCACTCTCCTAGGCGCACCTGGCCCTCATAATCTGGAACAGATTCGAATTCCCTTTCCGGTCCGGAGCCCGTCTTCGCGGTGTTATCCCTCTCCTCCCTCTCTCCCGACTGCTGGCACTTCCTCCCCGGCCTGGAGGTGGGCGGAACACCCCTGCGGGAACACCCCTGTTCGCATCTGCTACAGCCTTCGGTTTCCGTTGTCCATTCATCCGTCCCCCCTGCCCGAGAGCCCTCTGAAGGCCGGAAGGCGCCTTTTCCACCGCAGCGCCTCCAGTGCCGCAGTTAATTCCTGCAGGAGCAGCTCCATTTCAGGTTTAAAATGAATGCTCTTTCCTCTTCTCTTCAAACCCAGCCCACTAAACTAGAATTAATCTTTCCTCTGCTCTTAAGCACTGCCTTGCATTTGATTTTTAGCAGTGATCACAGTGTGACCTTTATTGGTTATGTGTGTACATGTGTTCTATCCCCTCCTGGGTAATAAACTGACTAGGAATATTGGAATTAATTTTTATAACCACACTCCACCCTCATCCCCACAGCACCAAGCATGGTGCCTCTCACAGGGCACTTCCATTAAAATTAAGAGTCCGGGCTTTAGGGTGGCACTGGATTTGCATCTTGGCTTCCTCACCTGTGTGGCCTTAGCCAGCCACTTTACCTTTAAGCTTTTTGCCTTTTTTTTTTTTTTTTTTTTTTACTAGAGGTAGCAATGGTGATGCCTGTTTCATCGCCCTGTTGGAGAAGGTAACTGAGCTCTGGGCAGGGTTTGCCTGCTGGCGAGGGCTCAACGAAGGCAGCTGCCATTAGAGGCACCGAAGGGTGTTTCTCAAAGGTGTCAAGTTGCATCCTTTTAAAAGGAGAAAAATGTTCAGAAGGCCACTGAGGACACCAAGCAAAAACACTGACTTAAACTGCACGTTGTCTTTGTAAGTGGTGCAAACGTTTTTGTAAAGCTTATCATAAAATGGAAACATCCAAATCCAAGCCCGAGAGCCTGTGAAGACTGAGACTGTCCACAGACCCCCCAGTCTGAGAAACCTTTGTTTACTGAGTTGACTTGGGGCAGGACCAACGCAGAGGAAGGCGGGAGGCCACGTTCTGCCTGGCAGTGAGGTTTCCTTCCAGAGGACATTCTTCATGGTGGCCTGGCCTTTTGTTCTTCCCATGGGGGTAGGGTTAGGGAGGAGGAGCCAGCAGGCCTGTGCTGTGTCCCTGGAGACTCTGGCCTGGAGCTGGTCCAGCCTGTGGGTGTGAGCAACCTCCCACCAGGACCCTGGACAAGACCAAGGGGAGAGGGACGTGGCCAGAGGCACAAAGAAGTTCAGAGCAAACAATGTAACTGAAGAAATTGTACCTCCAGCAGATGGGAACATCACCAAGGCAAGCAAAGAGAAACCTCAGCAACTAAATGTAAAGAAGGTCCCAGTCCCCCTCCTTCCGGGCCCCAGACCCTGCAGGGGCTAATGGTCCCTTGGGGTCGGCTGCACAGCTGGACTCTGAGTGCCGCGTCTCAACCCCACGCTGCCAGGAACACACTCCTCACCTCTCCTCTCCCCTAGCAGAAGCCAGTTTCTGGGAGTCACATCGGCCACAGACCCAGAGTGGAACCATCTAGAGATTTCGCAACCTGCATTTCAGAGAGCTCCCTCCCCATCAGCCTACGACAGCCCCTCCCACATGGTCAGACAGCTGAGGCCTCAGTAGTAAACACACTAAGGGCTCACCATTCACCCCCTCCAGAAACCTAAATACAAGCGAGACTCATTGGCCCACAGACCGAAGAGTCTTGGGTTTGAATCCAGTCAAGGGCACGTACCTCGGTTGTGGTTTGTCCCTAGCCTCTGCCCCCCGCCACTCTACCTGAAGATAAATAGAAAAAAAACAGCTCTTCGGGGCTCCCCCTTCCCCAGGCTGTCAGATCACCTGTGACAGTGCAGAGAACCTGGGACCAGCCCCCCAGGAAGAGTTCTGCATTAGTGGGAGGACTAGCTCTGCTCGGAATCACGGTGCCACTGCTGGACCTTACAACTCCCTGACGACCCACAGAACCCAAGGGCCCAAGCAGGGCTCCCCTTTCTTCTACCCCTCCCTCAACCCACTTCCTTCCCTACGTCCCCCTGTAAAGTGGACCAGTTTTCCTGAGAGGGATTTGGTGAGGTATGACAAAGGTCTCACTACGTCTGACTTCTAGGACTCTAACCACAGAAAACAATGCTTTGTTCTGTTTTATATCTATAAGTGTTCTCTTTAGAGTGTTATTTGTCATAAACATACATGACCCAGCAATAAGAAATTAAGTACTTTTTGTCCAGAATAGCATAAACTCTTGAAAAAATATATGGGGAAAAGCTCATGCTGTATTGGGAATTTTTCAAAACATTATTTCAGCATATTTCCAATGATGTAAAGACAGCAACACAAAAATATGTACAAAAAAAGGACTGGAAAGATATGTTGTTGTGTGGTGGGTATATGGATGATTTTTTTTCTCCTTTGTACTTTTCAAATTTTCCACAATTAATATGCATTAGTTTTTAAACATGGCATAAAAAGAAATACAAGGTCCATCTTTCTAAAAGACAGATACATAATTCTACCCCAGTACACATACTTTTAGAGCAAACTTCCTGCCACTTTGCTCCCTGAGAAGAGCCAGTGAAAAGGGCAGATGAACACAGGCCACTGATCGATGAAGGAACCATTGGCAGGCAGGCTGCATCATCAGCAGGGCCTTATGCCAAAGAAAAATGGGGGCAGGGGGCTTTTCCAAAAGTTAAGAATTTTAAGACAGCAACGGAGTGTCAAACCAAGCGTGGGGCCCGCGCGAATGCCCAGGAAGCCGCCCCAGTCACCAGCTTGGAGCAGGACATCTGGCCCACCAGGTGAGGGTTTGCAGGTAGGCACCATGCCCAGGGTGAAGGAGTTCCCACTGCCTCCTTACCTGTTGCTGAACAAATTTTTATTCCTTATGAGTCCAGCTTCCCAGCAGTCACCGTCCGAACAGCAGCATACTTTATCATATATATGCAAATCAGAAGCCAGCCAAGATTACTTAAACTCTGGGTCATAACCTCCTTTAAAAAAAAAAAAGATGAATGCTTATTTGCTCTATTCTAAGCATATCAGAAAGATTCCAAGCCATCTTCTACCCTGAAATTAATGGCAGTCCTACTGGGAACAGAACGTGAGTTATTTTTAAAGCAATTTCTGATTATTTTTCTCTCCAAAATCATGAAGAACCCTGACTTACAAAGTATCATGGCCTTTCCCTGGTCCAAGCCCCCCGCCCCTTTTTTGCCAGTCACATCTTTTGGGGAGCAGAGAGGACATTCACTACAGAGCATTATTCACTCCACATGTGTCACTCAGAGGCTTTTAATATCAGGAGTCGCAGTAAATCAGCGCTGAGTCGCCATCACATGACTCTAACGAGGCACACAGAGCCCGGCGCTGCTAACGACCCAGCGAAGGTATGGCTGGAGGAAGCTTGTTGCTTCCCCGTGTCTGAAGGGAAGCAACTCATTAACTAACCCTTGGATTAAATTACGTGCAAAGCAAATCTCTCCCTTTGCAACCAGTCACAGCAGCTGCCTGCCACAGAAATGCAAACAAATCAGGTTCAACCACAGCCAGACACCTGCCTGAGCCCAAGCTTGCGAAAGATGGAGGCAGAGTTGCTTAGGGAGAAATGTACACACTGAACTGCATCCTCTAACTTCTGCAGACTTCACCTGAGGCCTACCCCTGCGCAGTAAAGACCCTCCTTTCTCCCTCGCTCCTCGTTGATGGGGAAAGGTCTGGCATGGGGAGATGGGTCCATTCACGAAGAATGACATTCAGAGAGACATGGGGACATGCTGCAGTCAGGAGAGACTGTTGGGCAAGGAGGTCACTTGGGAGCCTCCCGCAGTTCCAGATGAGTGATCATGAAAGCGGTGGCCACGGTGTGGAGAGGAGCCCTCACGGTGTCGCTCTGCTGGGGCAGAGGAGCCTCCAGCGTCGACCCCCCCCTCGCCCTGGCCAGGCTGAGGGAAGGTCCTCCTACCACGAGACCCCGACCGCAGGCAGGAACTGCCTGATTATTCGTCTCCTTGCCCCGGGCCCACGAGCTGTGCAGACGTGTCAATGTCTGTCACTGCTGTGAATAAGCACATAGCACATAGTAAATACTTCATCAATATTCATTAGATGTTTAATTAATCAACTGTCTGCCCCAGCTGACTTGGATATTAAAGTGTTCCCACAGATGCTGCCTCCCACATGAGCGCCGTTCAGGCCTCAGCGTCTCTCAGGGGCCTTCCCCGGCTCAGCCCCGCGTCTCACCCCCATTCTCCTCCTGCCCCCTGAGCTAGTGGTGGGCCTGGCTCTGCACTGGCATGGTGTTTTGACTTTGGAGCCCGAACACTATCTCTGGCTTTATACAGGGGTGGGCAAAAGTAGGTTTACAGTAGTAATACTACTGACACAAGAAATTGTGTTTTGCACACTCACAACTGTAAACCTACTTTTGCCTACCCCTGTAAGTGTGTTGAGCTGCCTCACTGGCCCTCATTAAAAACCCACAGAACATAGATCACAGTTTATAGCTGATCATTTGTGTGCAATTTACAGGCTTTCAAATGAATGCTGAAGTTTGGTTTAAATGAGATTACTCCTATCTCAATTTAAAATCCAGTGACACAGCTAGCATTTCCCTTGTCTCCCTTTACCTACTTAATTAATAAACTCGTGTTTCTAGTTTACAGCTTCATAGCTTCCTTTAGATACCTAAACAATATATTTCACCTCCATCAGGACTGAGGAGGCTGGAAAGGCAGAGGGAGGAAGAGAAGGGAATTTGCTAGGTCAGTATCAGGAATAAGAGGAGGAAATCACATCTATGTGTGTTGACTTCCCCTGGGCTGGGAGGGGAAAATGCTAACGAATCCAGGTCACTGGATGGAGAGAGTCCAGGAGGTAGAAACGATGATGTCCTCAGCCACTACCAGCATCAAAGACACACCTGCTTCACAAGTCACTGGACAGAGTACAGTGGCGTAGAAAATACGTGTATGACTTGAGGGGCCAGCCAGGTGATGTTAAGGCCTCTCTTTGCTTAAAATAGGCTGTGCTTCTGGTCTGTGGAATATTCTGCCACACTCAATAAAGATGCTCAGCATATGTGTCCAATTTAACCTTTCAAAGCCCTTTCACTCTTGTTCCGGCCCAGCCTAGAGGGGACAGTCGATTAGAAACAGTGATGAAGATGTCTCAGAGTGGAGCCCATGGCCCCCGGGAAACAGGCAGGTGAAGTGAAGGGAGAGAAGAAACACTGAGCAGAAGAGCGTAATGGCCACATTGCAGCACAGCAGAGTAACTGGTGTTGACAATTCTGAGTCATCAAGAGAGGTTAAATCATAGATGTGTCCCTACGAGCTGGTCACTCGACTCCCTTACAAAGCACCTATCAGACACCCAGTATGCTCTCGACCTGGATGGGTCTGGGACTAGGAAGACAGGAGGCATGGTCCTTGCCCTCAAAGCTTCTCTGGATTCCAGTTTCTTCCATTACAAAATGAGGAGTCAAACTCGATGACTCCTGAGATTCCTTCCTGGAGGACACTAAAGGTTCTATGCATTAAGGCTTGAACCTCGACAGTCCTGTGAGTGGTAACCCAGGTAACATAACCCTGTTTTGCAAATGAGCAAACTGAGGCTCAGGGGTCAGTACCTGGCTCAAGGTGACACAGGTCCCGAGAAGCAGGGCCGGGACGCTCAGCCACTGAAACGAAAAGGTCTTCTTCTTCCCACCCCTGGGCTCTTTCCAGCGGGTCTTCCTTCCTTCAAAAGGGCAATCAGAATAGATGGGGAACAGTTCAGGCGTTTGACAACTCTGAGAATTTACAGGTCTGGAACACAACATTCTACAGCCACAAAACAAAAATCATGTGCAATTGGACAGTAATAAATATCTCTCAGACCAAATGCAACCAAAATAGCATTGAAGGATCTGTCAAAATCAATCGTGGGATAAGTCCAAAAAGTCAACAGCAAGGGCTGCTAGGGACACATGCTGAACAGTCCAAATACCTTTGAGAAAACGTGCTTGAGGAAAAAGGCAGCTTGGGACACTGTGTTTAAAGAAAAGAAAGAAAGAAAGCCAAAAACCAAACATACATTGCCGGTAGGGCTGTTTCAGGCACAGAGAAAGGGCAGATATCCATACACCCTGATTTCTTCCCTGCCGGCCGTGACTGCTAATAGAAAGACCTCTGCGGGGAAACAGGTCCCTGCTTTCCTGCAGACCATGTACAGATGGAGAGAAAGGTCGCCGAAGAGGCACTGGATCAAGACAGATGGTTTATAACACCAGAGATGGCCACCAGCACAGTGTCCGTCTGACAGAAGACATCAAGAGCCACAGGCCTGGGAATGTGCATTTATCGAGCACCCAGACAGTCTGTAAACACTGGCTCACCACTCACAGGTCTCTAGGGAAGGTCTACTCATTGAAGCTCAGAGAACTGCTCTGCCCAGGACTGCATGGCTAGCGAGTGGCGGAGCAAGAGTTTGAACGCAGGCTGAGCTGGGAGCTCCAGCTCTTTCCGCTCTTGCACACAACTGGCCCCAGTACTTAGAGTTGTTCAGCCTTAGACAAGTCATTTTAATCTTCATAACCTTCAAGTGCCTGAGACCTGCCTATCACATGGAATTGTAAAGATCAAAGCGGAGAAAACACACAAGCACTTTGCTACCTGAAAGACTTCTGCAAACATGATGATATTCATAACAATAACAATAATATTTATGGAGCACCTCCTATGTGCCAGGCACTGACCTTACTGCTTTGCAGAAATTATTTCACTAATTTGCACATTTAATCGATGAAGAAACCGAGGCTCACAGAGGTGAAATAACGTGCTAGCAAGTGGCAGGGTGGGGGTGGGACTGGGTTTAACTACTCCAGAACCCTTGCTATGCTAAACAACCAAGGTCTCCCACTCCTCTGTAGTATTACTGCCTTCCTCCCGGTGCCCACCGGGCTTAGACGTGCTGGCCTAGTTTGAGACATTCCCCTTGGACGCTGGAGCTAGTAATCGTCACTGTGGGAATGCTAGCATGTTCTGCTGTTGAAAGAAATCTGCTTTTATCTGTCGCTTGTCTTTGTCCAGCTAAAGTGAAAAATGCCAGCAAGAACAGGTACTGCATGAGGTTAGGAGACAAACATGCCCAGAGGTCCCAGGTTTACAACCTAATTGGGGGCACAAATGCAAGTGTTTATGGAGCCCCGTGTATAAGCCAGGCTCCATGTTAGGCCCTGGGGACACACAGATGAGCCAGATACAACACAGTGACACAGGCTTTGCCTGGGATGTGTACAGGGTAAATCGGGCCCACAGGAAAGACACCTGACCCTGTTGGGTGGGAGTGGAAAAGGTCAGAAAAGTCTCCCAAAAGAAGTGGGTTTCAGAGCAACATACTATTTATTGTCTGCACTGTTGAAGAGTTTGTATATATCATCTCTAATTCTCACCTACTGGGCAGATATTATATTTTATAGATAAGATATTAAGTAATAAGGAACCATAGCAGTAAGAGGCAGACTCTCTGGTCCTAGAAACTCCGACTCCAAGTTTACCAGACTCTACAGTCTGCACTCCTTCCAACATGTCAGGTGGCCCCGAGAACGCCGTGCCACCAGCTACGATGGAGGAAGAAACAACACACCATGAAGGAACAGAACAGGGAAGGGTAAAGGACCAGGCCATCGCGAGGCTGTCCTGGAGGAGGTGAGACTTGAGTGAGCCATGGTAGAATGATCCAGGACAGGCCGGGACAGACTCATTATTCTAGTGAGTCCTCTGGGGATGAGCAGGAAGGAGCACTCTCCGGGGTCAAGGCCATCTACACGGCAGTCCAAGGGATGGAGGATGTTTTTGGTGAAGATGAGGGGTTGCTTTGGGGTTGCAAGAAACAGAAACCCACTCATACTGATAGAGGAAGTAAGTCGCTATTTTGGAAAAAGCAAGCACCCAGGAGATAACCAGACCCTTTTGCTTCCTAGAGATAACCAGACCTTTTCTCTTCCTGCTTCTGTAAGCTGCTTACTGCTCTTGCATCTAAAGAATGCCCCGCCCAGCCCGCTATAAAACTAGGCTAGGCTCACCCTACAACTTGGGGGGGGGGTGCCCAGAATTTGGAGACTGCCTCCTCTGGGTCCGCATGTGTGAATAAAGGAACCTCTTCACTTCCTCCGGTGTTTGGTCTGAGTCTTTTCCGTAACAATACTGTACTAACATAACCAAAAACAATAATAAGTAAGTAGCAAACAAACAAAAAGTACTGCTGGCCCTTAAACAACACTGGTGTGAACTGTGCCGGTCCTCTTATACGCAGATTTTTTAGTTAATACTGATACTGTTTCCCATCCTCAGTTGGGAATCAGCTTGGGAGGGGCCGACTGTATGCATTGACTTACACCATTTAATACAGGGGGCTTGAGCATCTGTGGATTTTGATATCCACTGGGGTCCTGGAACCAATCCCCCCATGGATACTGAGGGACAATTTGTTTTGGGGGAGTTCAAAGTTATACGAAGATCTTCAGCTATGCGGGGGGGTGGTCTGGGGGGTTCGGCACCCCTAACCCCCATGTCGTTCAAGGGTCAAATGTATTTATTTTAGGGATTCTGGCGTTTAGTAGGACACAAAGGCTCGAACTGTGCAGTGAGCACCGGAGGAATGGCTAGAGACCAGACAGGCACCGGCCAGGACGCTGCCCTCTCACTCCTGCCTCTGCTCTGTCCACCGCCTTCCACTGCCTCTGCAGGGCGGGGCAGATGCCTCGGCACCTCTCAGATCTGACAGTTCTGATCTGCAATTCGAAATCCCAGGACAGAGAATCTGTTTCCCTTGGGCCACACAGCTAGGGCCCGGGAGTGAGGGCGGCCATTCTCAGAGAAGGCGGCGTTTGGGCTGCACAGACCCCCAAGACCAAGCGGGGGTGTTCAGCTCTAGATACTGTCAGACCCAGGCTCTGGAGGGACAGTGCTGAGAGGCCTTCGTTTTTACTTTCTCACTCTGCCCTTTCATACACTGGCTTTCACATTTATAATTCTTCTGTGGAGTTATTAAATCCATAAATAAAGATTTAATCTTTTAAGCTCTGCATTGTGAGAGCGGAAGTTAAAAGAGAAGGCCAAGGAGAGCTTCCAGCCATGGTAGCAGGGGTCGCAGGGGAGGAAGCTTCCAGGCTGCTGGGGCAGAGGAGCTGGGAGACGCTGCAGCTGCTGGGGGCTGAGGGCAGAGGGACGGGAACGTCCCTCCAGGACCAGAGACCACCTGCGAGACTGCCACAGAGAGCAGGTAGATTCTAGAGAGAACCATCCTGAAGGCTGGGGGACATGCTAGGAAGAGTCTCAAGAGCCCTCCCATCGAGCACATTCTGACCTAAACCAGTGGAGAAATGGGGAGCAGAGGAAGGGGTGCTCCCAGGAGCCTCGGGCAAGTGTGCCTATATAGGAAGGGGATTAAGAAGGGACCCAGAAAACCCAAGATGAAGAAGAGGAAGGGGAAAGGGCTCTGGTTCCTGTTTAGCTCAGAGCCTGACCCAGAGGAAGCACGGACAGCTGAATCAACAACTTCGTTTCCTACATCTCTGCCCCTCGCTCCCCACCATCCAGGGGTCAGACAACATTGGCTCGGGTCCGTGATGACAAGGACAAGATGGACACTTGGTTTCTCCGGCAGGGAGGAGGGGATCTTAAGAATCAAGAGGAGAGCTTGGAAGATGGGGCAGGAAACTGGGGCCAGAGTAGGGGTAAAGGAGCCCTCTGAACTGTGCCTGTGAAGGAGAGGCGACATCCGGACCAGTGATCTGGAGCAAGGCTGTCCCCACAGCAGCAGCCCCTCCTGCCTCCTGCCGCGGTTCCCGCATCCCCATTCCTGGCTGTTACTGTCATAGGGCAAGGTGTTGACAGATGTGGGACTTCTCTTCGGGCTTTCAGCCCCTTCTCCCCCACCAGGGCCTCTGCTTTCCACTGCCTTTCGATGAACCCAAACCAAAGGTCATGACCTGTTTCTGCCAAGTGATGGGTTGTACAGGGTCTGTGAAGGGGCATGGAGGCTGACTGGATTCAGCTGCCGAGGCTCCCCTTGCGCAGCAGATAACTTAATGAATCTGGGCAGTTCACTGGACCTGCCCACACAGTTCCACTCACCTTCCAAACACCTTCCAAGTCCTAGCCGGGTTGGCTCAGGGGTTGGAGCGTCGGCCTACGGACCAGAGAGTCCCCGGTTCGGTTCCGCTAAGGCACATACCCAAAAAAAAAAAAGCTTCCAAAATAGCTCCAGCTTTTTGAACAGGAGCCAAAAAGAAAAAAGAAATAAATGACAAGGCCCCAGAGATGTCTGCCTTTTCAGAAAAGCCGAAGTGAACTTTTCCAAAGGAAATTTAAGACCAGAAAAAAAATGAAAGTAAAGCTGCTTTTCCGCCTCTCGTTGAGGAATCAGGCAAAGAACGATGCCCCAAAGCCAAGCACAGCGCGTGGTGGAGACGGTTTCACCCACCACGTCGCTGACACACGCAGTCCGGTGCTTCTCCTCAGGGTCATCAAAAAGCCACTCCAGATGCTGGGTGCTGTCTGGATAACTCCACCCTCTAGTAGCTTCCAAGCAGACACTGCCACACGAGTCACACCAGGTGCGAGTCACACCAGGTGCGCACTCCCGCCAGGTGCGCACACACGCATGCGCGCGCACACACACGCATGCGCACACGCACGCACGCGCACAGCCCAGTATGGATGGCCTGGACCGCTCTCTCCAGGCTCCACTGAGAACCCCTTCCCTCCCTCGCTCCCTCCTCCTCCCCCTCCCCCTCCTCCACACCCCCTCCTGGCCTGCGCTGGAGCCAGATGTTCTGTGGGCAGACCCCTCCGTGGGCTGACAGGGGGTGATTACCATTGCCAGCCCCACATTAGGAGAGAACAGGATGGGCAAGAGCCCCCACCGCTCCGGCTCCTACTGCCTTTCCTTCCCCTTCCTCACCAACCTACGTGGGGAGCAGCTCTGCCTGAGACAGGAGGCTCTGGGGGCCCTGGCTGATCCACCCCATCCTAGGGGAGGATGCACTAGGGGGAAAGAGCATGTTCCTTTCCCTCCCCACTGGGAGTCAATCACCACGAGGACTCCCAGGCAGCCTGAGGTAAACTTCCTCAGAAAAGCAGGGGTCTGGACCATGAGACAGCCTTGCTCCCTGGTGCTGGACAAGCAGGGGGATGAAGCTGGGGGGGTGGGCCTGGTACGTAGCTCAGCAGATTCCTGAGACTGGAGTCCAAAGCCCAGGGTTTTTCTCCTCCTCCACCGCCCCACCCCACGGTCTTTGGCCATTGCAACCCAGACCAGAGTACCATCAAGAAAGGGTTAAGTTTCCAGGACTCCTGGACAGACTTCTGCGAGGTTCCAGGTCCAGGGTGGGTAGATGGGGGTGGTGAGGGTGAAGAAAGGGAATGTGTTGGGAAACTGGAGGACTAACATCCAAGACATGGTCACTGCCCCTCCACCCAAACCGCAGACGCTGTGGCAGCAGGAAAATCAGAGCGGCTCAGACCAAGTCCGGTTGTGCAACCCTGGGGGCCAGCCCGATGCTGGAGATGGGAGTGGGGCAGAGTCCACGCTGGAGGTAAGACTTCAAGTTCGTACTGAGAACACATGTGCTCAGGGCTCTGGCTTCCACACTACACTTCAATGCAACTAAAACCCATTTTCTGGTTCAAAACCTCAGATCTGGAATTGGAAACTCTGCCCCTGGGCAGTCTCGTGGCCAGAGGCACAGCGCCACTAGCAGTTCTGGGGGAGCTGCTGAAGGGGGCCGGGGGTGGAGAAGGCTGTCTGCCCAACCTCCTGAAGTGGCGGGTTCTGCTGCTTCCCCAGGCCCCTCACAGGAAAATCTGTAACTGGAGAAGTTCCTTCTTCCTCAGCCAGGGAACCCAGCCAAATCCCTAATGCGGTCTAAGGAGTGGGAATGGGTGTAGGGGAAAGGAGAGGCTCATGGGGTGAAATATGATCTGAGGGCTGCCCCAAACAAACACAGGCGAGGAGCAGTGGGTTTTCCTTTTAATGCAAAAGGTTTCAGTACAAAATGAGGTGAAGAAAGTCCCATTCTTTAGGGCACTGAAGGGAGAGAGGGCAGAGTTAGAAGTCTCCTAGTCCTCTCTCCATCTCACACCAAGGCAGGAAATACTCCGTTGCCTCTCACTGGGGCTGCCCCCATTCGAGGGTCAGAGCTCTGGGCCTGGGTCACCTGTGGCCTGAAATCTGTTGACATGGGGCAGGAGAGAAGAGTGAACCCTTAGGGTGTTCTCCCTTTTCACTCTAAAAGGGTTACTGAAGATCCAGAGTCCCATATGAAATGAAGGGGCCATGAGAACTTGGCTTTCATTGGCTAAAACTATGAGATCTGAACTACAACTTGTCCACACTTGGAGAATGAGGAACAGGGAATTTAGTGGGAATATAAATGTATGGAGATTAGAGAGATTCCTAACACAGGCCAGCTCCTCAAACTTCTTCCTCTTTTTTCCTCATCTCCAGCTTATAGACAATCTGGTAGCCATCATCCCAGGCATAGAGCTGGCGCTCTCGGGGGTTATAGCGGAGGCTGGCGTGGGCACCATATCGACGGGGGAAATAAGGGAGTGCTGCCCTTTCAGGGGTCAGGGTGCCGCTGGCATCAAAGGAGCACTGGATGCGGGCCCGACTGGCAGGGCGGGTGTTATAGACGACATACAGGGTCCCACAGATGACAAACGCAGCCTCAGCATTCTCTCTGGGACACGGTGTGTCCCACTGTTGTTCCGTGTCCAGTGTTTGTGGGTCTAACTTGGCCAGACACAAGTGCCTGCTGTCCTCCCGGGTGGCATAGACAGCCCAGAGGCCCTCCTCGTCCGCTGCCAGGTCAATGTATGTGTCTGATGTCAGCCCATAGGCGGGGATCAGACCCTCTGCTGGGAATACCGAGCTGTCCACCACTGTTCGGTTGGCCAGGTGGAATTTGATGAGCTGCAAAGTGTTGTCCAACTCCCCACCCCCTCCAGGTCCTCCAGGAGGCCTCCGGGCATAATAGAGAAAGCCACCATATACCAGCTGCCCTGTGCCTACCCAGGGGAAGGGGACCCGGATTCGGGAAGCTTTCCGGGCAGCCATGGCAAGAGTGAAATCACGCAGCCTTGGGAAGACAAAGGCTGTGTCATTCTGTGTCCCATCCAACACGTAGATCTTCTCTGTGGGTCCCAATGGGTCCTTGGTCCATAGACCAGCTGGGCCCCCAAACCGCTTCAGGATCTTCATTGATCTCACTTGAGAGATTGTGTAGCCACAGTCTGCGAGGAAGAAGAAAAGCACAGGATGAGGAAATATAGGCAAGAGTTAAATGCCCAACACAGGAGCTCCCCACCCCCAGGGTGGGCCACTGGAGAATTGGGGAAAAAAGCACCACAGGGGCCTGGGTCCCCAGAAATCCTCCATGATGGACCTGTCATTACAGAATTGCCCTAAAATAGATTTCAGAAGATACAACCAAAGTGGACGGGGACAAGGACAAAAAAGGGAACAGTGGTGGACAGTTCAGTATTCTCAACAGAGGCTTTGATTCCTCTGTATGGGTGAGGACAAGGAAGAACACAGGTTCCGAGTTAGGGGCCTGCCTCCAGATCACTTACCTGTCAACATATCATACTTCTCATTTCTTCTGCCCTTGCCTTTGGTCCCAGAGCCTCCGGTCACCTTCTCATCAACTTCTTCACAGGGTAGAGCTGGGTTCTGGGTCTCCAGATAGTCAACCTCCCGCTCCAGACGGTCCACTCTCCCCGCGATGGTGTCTGCCTCCGTTCTGAGTGCCTCCCGCTCCTTCTCGGCCACCTCCAGCAGCGGCAGCATCTTGTTCTTGAAGTCCCGCAACTCAGCAGCATGCCGACTGCTCTGGTCCTGGCACTGGGCCAGCCGTTCCTAAAGGGATGGGGGAGGAGAGAGCTACAGGGTTACAACTCCCAGGCAGGGAGAGGCCCAGTCAGGGAGTCAGAAATGGGGAAAAGAACACACTGAGCCAGGCAGCAACATCCCCTTCAACTTCCATAGAAAGGAAACCAGATGTTCAGAGATGCTAAATGTGCAGAGAGCCTGGCTCAGATTCACCAAGGCCCCTGCCCCCACGACATGTCCTCCAGCCTTCCCTGTGAGCAGGGCCACTGAGTCAGTGAGCCTCTAGGGCGGTCTAAGTGCATGGGTGGGGAGGGGTCTCTGCTCCATTGTACAATTCTCCTGGGATTCAGATGCTACAGATTTCGAAGTGTTAAAAAGGCAGAAAGGTCTCTGGGAACTTCCACCTTGAACAGAATCATCAGCTCGCCTGAGATGCATCCCATAACTTCTACTGTCCCTCTATTCTACCTAAGCCCAGGACTAAAACACAAAGGTCTGAATTACTGTGCATGTGGGAAGAGGGCTTACAATTTTGAGGCTCTTCTTATTTAAAAATGGAGTTTTCTGTAGGTTCTTACAGAGCCCTATCTTGTCAACCCTCGATGGCTGACAAACTGGGAGAACCGACAAAAAATGTGGCACCCTGCCAGGCTGGGCTAGAAGAAAAAGGAGCCACTCACCTCTAAGGCAACTAGTCGGCGTTCCATGTACTCCACAAGGTGGTGCTGCTGTCCTCGAAGGGGTCCGGACCAGGACAGAAGGAGCAGGACGAGGAGAGGAGTCCAGGGTCCCATGGCAGCAGGAGAGTGGGGCCAGAGGAGTGTGCAGTCCTGTGCAGGCGGCCTCAGCCACTGGAGCCCACGGGTTAGCTTCAGAGGCGGGATGGGGGCGGGGCCTTCTCTTTCTGGATCTCTGGGTCTCTCTCACTACTCTGGAATGCTTTCAGGCCCTTTATGGCCCCCACTCCCTCCTTTCTGCCTGGATTGATCAAACACAGATGGCCCCACTGCAGAGCAGCCAGAAGCCTTAACCACCTCCCGCCTAGGCTGTAGGCTTCCCAGGAGAGAAGGAGATGGAAACCCAAGGGCAGAGCCTTTGGGCAGTCACCCAGGAAAAGGAGCTAGCTGGTGGAGGCCCCAGAGAAAACTCAGCAAACTATTCCCATGCTTTAGGCTTCTAGCACTGACATAGGAAATATCCTTCATTAATCCTTCCCTTTCCCAGCAATAACAGCATGGATTGCTTTCTGCCGTGTTCAGTGAAAGCTGGAAGCGGGAGAGATGAGGTTCCAGGGGAAGAGGTGGGGAAAAGGCGCCGGTGGTCAAGTCTGGGTTACATACTTCCATAGCTCATTGGCGCCATCTAGAGCTAAGTGCCAGGTATCTCAGGATTAGTAGGGAAATCAAGGCTTAGGTTCAACTTCATGTGGAATTTTCCACAAAGCAAGCCAAGCAGACTGAATTTATAGGGGTTTTCATCATTAAAATGCAGATTCCCCCCACAGACTACCTATTTACTTACAGGGCTATCCCAGTCTCTCTCTTATTAGCCTAAAGAGAATATAACAGATAAAAACAATTTGAAAACAAAACCAACAAAAACAGGTCAGAGGAGTCAGTAACTTCTTAACTAGAAGCATGATTCCTTTGTCTGAAAGCCTCTAGATATACCTTAACTGGGGAGTGTTCAGCAAGTTCACACTGATTTTACATTCACTTAGTCAGGAAAGAATCTGAAAAATATGTATGTGTAGTCTAAATCAATATAAATGTATTCTGACTTCCCTACTTATGGGAGAGGACTGGTGATAATTTCTTTGGTTATGGTCCAAAAAGGCGTTTCTAAAGGTTCCTCATTTCTATATCCCAACTATGACTGCAGGAGCCCCAAACAAATGAATGGCCACTGTCAGGTTAACTGGGCCTGAACCACATGTGTCAAAAGGAATCAAATGAATGTAGCATTTATTCAGAGACCTGTAGCGAGTAATCCAGACAGATCTCTAATTCTTTATCTGGAGAAATCTTACTCACTTTGGAAGGAAGAAAAATCTAATCAAAAATGCTCCTTCTCTAAAAAGGATTATGCAGCTTGAACGAGGAGGAAAATAGCATCTTCTTGTGGTGATTCTTATTTTCATTCTGCTACTTTAGATGTCAGGTAGAACACACTAGGAAACAAAGTTTAATCAGCCTGTGTTAGAAGTTTCTGCCTCTTTGAAAGGGCCAGCTCCAGACGACTAAGCTAGGGCCCTGGAACTCCATTCCTGCAGAACGTTCCCTTCCCAATACCTATTCATCTCTGTGGTGGTCTGTATGAAAAATGAATTTGTCTCTAATACATAATTTGTCTACTAATTTTTAGGTGTATTTTAGGCACTCCAAAGATGCTATTTGTGGATCCCCTTTGTACCCCGGAACAAACGTCAAAAACAGCCACAGGAATCAGAAAATTTACCCATTTTATTGATGCATCTCAATTGCTCTACATTTTACCATATTATGTAGAAAATACTGAAAATACAAGCTACTTTGTAAAACCAAAGACAAACATTGAATCCAAAGATAAACTATGTTTTACACAATGGACCCTTTTCCCGCAGTTAGTATTAAATTTTAAATATCTATTTATTTTGTTAAAATGATTATTTTACATACTCCCTAAGTACATCTGCATTACAAACATAGCTCAGTAATTCTCAGAAACTGTTTCTAGAGGCTTGTTGTAAAAGGAAGTGCACAACCAGAAAAGGGAGAAAGCAAAAGTTTAAATCGCACACAATAACTAGCATATCAAATACATTTAATAAACTTGGAATTCCATTGCAATATCAAGGATTCAAAGCAGAAATACTAACATTACATAAATGTACATATAATGTACTGCTACATGTAGTGAGATTATTTTTCAAGCTGAATCAAAACCACACATTATATAAAGTTTAGCAACAAACAACCATGTAGACATGCTGCACCATCCATCAGATAAAAACAAAATCAAAATAGGAAGCAGGCTTGGGCCATTCCTTGGGAGTGTGTCCCACTGCTAACAGTGGGCTTTTGCATAATAATGCTGAATAACACACACATTCCTGTGCTTGCCTGGCTGAGGGCAGTCAAGCTTAGCCCCTCTCCTGGAGGATGATGGATGGCCAGACTGTCTGAAATGGAGTTCTTATTCCTGGGGCTGGTATTTTAGCTGAGCACTGACTGTAGGATCACCTCTTGGGAGCTATTAAAAACTCTGGAGTGATCAGGTGTCCTGATGAGCCTAAGAGTGGCTGTACTTAACCCTTTCCTTTCTGTCTCACCCTAAAGGGGAGAAGCCGGAAATGCAACTCCTGAGAGGGCTTAAAGCTTAACCTGGTCTGAAGGCCAGGCCACTGTGACTCAGGCCAGCTGCTCTGTAAATTCAAGGGGCATCCCCCATCCTGTCCGGATGAGACAGCAAGCCCCAGGGACAGAATCGAAAGCCATGTTAAGTACATACACTTTCGGCAGACACAGGTGGATTTTTACCTTGGTAAATCTGAAATGCCAATTTATAGACTTAAGACTGAAAATCTCTAAAATCCTTAAAGCCACACAATGCTTACAGTAAGGTAATTAAGGTAACAACACAAGATCTTGTATTGTATTTCCCCGAACCTTAAATGGTATCTACCTACTACACTGCGGGCAGGAGTGGAGTGTTTTGTAGTTTTTTTCCTGCATCTTGTTTCTTACAAAAATAATTCCTATCCCTTATAGAGGAAAGAAAAGGAACAAAAAAAGTTTCCATTAGAAACTAGATCTGTCTTTGAGCAAGAAAACCCGAATCTGCTTGGCAAAAAAGAGACACAAAAGATCACACACGCTGATCAGAGCACTGTAATACATTAGTGACAGAAACTATACTAACTGCCTGGGTATCCTGACCAGTTTAGTGCAGAAAACACAACTCAATATAATTTAAAATATACAGAAAACGCCAACATGTTCCCGGTAGGCTCATCGACTATCTGCCCCATCCTGGAAGCCTTTACTCCTCACAAAGAAGAAACTCCAAAAACCTTGACAGCTCCTCGGCGTTCAGCCCGGTGCAGAGCTTGCTGCGCAGGCTCCATGAAATCTCCCCTCTCCACCCTGCACCTCCTTGGCACCATCTCCACAAAGAGCCACTCCCAGACGTGTCCCTCAACTACGTCATTTTCAGTTCGGATGGAACACTTCTACACCTTAGGGTTAACCTTCTTCCCCAAAATCTTTTATGAGCAGGAACATCCCCATCCCCAGCACCTTCTACTTGACCCAGATCCATGCAGGAGCTGAGAGTACAAGGACAATTTCACAGTTTGAAGGGCCCTAAGAATACACAAGTTGTTAAAAGGAAATCTCAAAAGCCCAATGACTCAACAGGCTTCGGTTCCTTCTCAATATTCTTCACCAGCTAAGTTCCCTGCCACCAGCGGCGTCACAAAACTCCTCATAGTATAGGGACATGGTAAGCAATACAACAGGCTCTTTGGTATAAACACATCTGTTATATGTTTTTTCAACAAGCAAATATTTTACTAGGAATGTCAACTATCTGCAGGAAGGACTGCCACATGGAAAAGGAAAAATAAAATCTCATTCTCAAAGTGATTGCACATACTTTTTAAGGGAAAAAATGCCTTTTAAATACTGGCTTGACTCCTCTCACTGCTTCCTGAATGCTCACGGAAGCGGGGCGGCAATGCACGGTGAGAGAGCCACGTGGGGAAAACGCTCTGTGAGCTCAGCTGAGATGCCGAAATGGAAAGAGGGCAGAGGTGGCAGTAAAGGAGGAGAGCTGCTATTTTTATTTGTCAGTGTCAGCAGGGAAACTGAGAACAATGCATTTACACAACACAGCTACTAATCCTGTTCTGGTAAATCCCAGCGAACAGCTTAGGGTCCACGGGGGCTTGCTGGTCCATCCTAAGGCAAGCTCACTGTAAACTCTATAACCACTACATTATCATATAAGGCACTACAATAAGGGAAGGAGGAGAGGGAAGGAAGAGACACACAACTGAACAATTCCTCACCAGACACACCTGTGCAAAACAAGTCCAGGGTCTCCTCTCCTTGCAGGCAATGCCCCTGCGCTTTCAGCACTACAGTAATATGCTCTAATATAATTGCAATTAGTTCACATACATTCCAACAAGTATCAGTTCATTTTGGTTTAAATACAATGGAGACACCAAATCCATCTCCGGGGTAACACTGGAGGATCAGATACACACTAAATACACAATTCAAGTGTAATCACTAAACATCTGATTACAAATAACATCTTGGGTTAGCAGGAAAAATTGCTTGTTATATTTTTCTAATCAATATGTACATATTTAATTATGCAAAATATTAAAACACCACCATTACAAAACTTCTAAAATATTTTTAAATTCAGTTATAAATTTTTAAAATATGTTTTGCAATTCCTACATGCACTTATTGTATAAGTCTTAATAAGAGAGCATTCAATTTGCTGCTGGCATACAAAGGAAGCTACTCTAAAGTATAAAAGCTATACACAATGTTTTTATCTGGTTTCAGATTCTTTAGCTTTCTCCCCAAATAAATCACAGAGAACTGAAGGAAGAGGTGAGGAGAGGAGAAAGAGAGGTGTATTACTGGAAATTCATACTAATCTTTAGGCAAAGCTCATCAATGCCAGTAGCGCATAATACAAAGAGATTCTGCATATAATAAAACCACCACCACCACACAATAACAACCACTTTAATGGCTTTTCCATAATAAAATTTAAGCTCAATCAGGGAAGGTCTTTTCAAAAAATAATTTAAAAAGAAATGCATGGTGCTTTGTGTTTTCATGGCAGGTGTGGATTCTCGCACTAAATTACCAGCAAGTGGTGAGCTGCCTTTTGAATACTATTTTGTAATGAACACAGAGCAACTGACAGAATCCCAATAGTAATACAGAGTAGGATACAACCAGTTTTGCAAAAATAACAATTGCTCATTAAGTATAATGTGACGTGAAAACAAAAAGAAAACACTGTAAGTTTAAATATCTCAATCACAAAAGTAAAATTCTGAGGCAAAATGCCTGATAGTAAAATAAGGACTTGTGAGAGCTACTCTTAAAATAGGCAATTAAGTCTTGGTTTTTAAACAAGCAAAAAGTAATGATTTTTCTTTTCTCACTTACTGCCAGATTTCAAGTCCTTCTATCAGCATTTTTCCTCTGACCAGCAACTACAATAAAACAAAGTTAAATAAAAAGGGGCTTTACTTGTTTTTAAAAGCATTTATAGAAATAAAGTCAGAGAGAGAAAATATTTTTCAGAATGATCTTTCTTCCTTGGTAACTGCAGAAGATGGGCATCTGAACTCTTCCAAATACCAAAACTGCTGTCACAAAAATAAAGAACTGAAAATAGGGCAGACTCGGGAGACTACAACAATGCAGTCAACACTGAGACAGGTTTCCCAGAGAAAAGCCTTCTGCTTCAGTGGGCCCCTGCAGAGCAAGCTGCTGGCTAAGGAGTTTCAAGACAGAGTAAGAGAGGAGCTCATCAGAACCCATTGTGAAGAGCTCAGGGCCAGGAAAGGGCAACCATGACCCTTCCTCCCTTGTGCTCACCAACTACAAGTAGGAATACTGGCTGATCTTGGTAGGACTCAGTGGGTATCCAGTGTAAATTGTTGAGCCTCGGGTCGACCCAATGTAGGACTGAGTGGCAAACTGGTGTTGGTACTGAGCAGGGGCCACACTGGCAGAGGTGAGGAGGCTGGGCCCAACGCTGACAGGGACCTGGTGCACCAGAGTGCTAGGGTGGGTGGTATAGGCTGCAGCATGCCTTGAGGAGCCCTGCGGGGAGAAGAGATGAGCAATGGAGCTGGTGGAGCCCAGTGCAGCAGCAGAGGTGGGGGCAGCGTACGTATACAGGTGAGGCTGGCTTGGCAAGTGAGCCGGGGCTGGGGCCAGGTGTGGGTGCCCCGTCGAGTGTATTGGGCTACCATGCTGGAAGGCGTAGGGGGCTTGGGAGAGTGGGGCCACAAACGCCTGCTGCCTGCGGGGAGCAGGGTTGCTGCTTCTCTCCTGCGAGGTTGGAGCTGACGACTGCTGGTTCTGGAAAGAGGAAGACGGGAGTAAGGAATCTTGCAGTCACTCTGGTTCAGGGCACCAAAGGCCAAGCTCAGAATTGAGGTTCTAACTTAAACTGTTTCTGGGCTGCCAGAGCACAGACTCTCCCAGATGGGCAATGCTGTCAGAAGTCTGCCGCCCATCCCTCTGCCTCTTGGCAGCATAGATCTTAACCCAGCCCAGACAGCAGCAATTTGCTCGTAAGCATGACAGG